TCTCAAACATCTGAGTAAAAACAAATAGCAAATCTCCTAATCAAGCAGCTCTTTAGCAAATTAAGGCTTCACATAGGTAATTATGCTGAGCTAGAATGAAAACAAAAAGAGGTTTGTGTTTCTCCACAATCAGGACTAGAAACCTGTGCTTTAAGGCATGAAAGTACAAATGCTGCTGCTTATGTTACAGTATGTCAGTGGTTTATAAGAATAGGTTCACAACTCTGAGGGAGGTAGCCTAGAGAAACTTTCTGTTATATACTGTGTAAGATAAACATTATAACCACAGATTGTTTTGTCCTTAAGAGCTAATTAATGTCTTACCATAAATCATCGTAGGGTGAATAAATATTGTTTTTACATGGTCTATATTATAATAAAAGATGTCATCAGACTTCATTCATTAGTTTCCGAATGTACCTGTTGTAACACAAAAAACGAGTTCTAAAAACAAACTGTCACTAATCTGGATTGATATAAAAATTAAAATACAGACCAAAATATTGAAACATTAAATAATTCAAGTTGAGATATTCAAAAACAGCACTCAAACAAAAGTGCTGCTATGGAGAAAAGTACATGTTTAAAATGTACAGTCATTTGGGACAGTTTGACAAGGAAACATTTTTTTTACGTTTTGGAGTGCTGCTTACAGAAAGAGCTGTCCAATAAAATAGTTACTCAGGAGTAGCAGAATACTTTTTCCCACATGTGCTTAAAATCAGTTCACTTTAAATTGTGCCTCTTCCTTGAGCAATTCTCCAGTTCCAATGTCTCATTTTTCCTTGACAAGCAGGGTTACATAACTGAATGGATAAGGTCACCAGAGGCCAATGTAGCTATGGAAACTTGGCAGACACACCTACCACACCAATAAAAAAATACATGTAATGCACTTACAAAACTAGGTCAGAGCAATGCATGCTGGGAAACCGTTACCCAACTCACCCAGAATAGACATCTCAGAGGTTATGGACAGACTACAGGCTGATATGGTGCCAGTGAACGTCTACACAACGATCAACTGTGTAAGCACTGTGACAGTAGGACTGCATAATATTCACTGCAGCTCTGCTTTAGTAGCAATGTGCATCGTCTGAGGCACTGCTCGGTGCTCTAGCCCACACTGCTGTTTTCCTTCAACGCTGACATTTCTGCGGTTGTATAACCTCCTGCCTTGTTCCCTCCCCTTGATGTTGTCATCATGTTTGGGCCTGCAAGCTGTTCACTTCAATAATGGCATGCTTTCATTTCTTTGTAAATACACAACGTAACCATTCAAAATAGCTCGGAGTAAAGGCATGTCAAATTAAACATTATAAAAACGTGTAAACCTGTTACACCATCAGGTAGCTGCTTTATGGATGAAAAGATTGTTGACCTACAAATGTGATTAGTTAACACCTTATATACTGCTTGCATTTGAGAGCCTGTCATCCTGAAGAATCTCAAAGCACTTTACATACTGTATATACTGTATATTAAGGGACCCACTTCATCCACCCCAGAAGGACAGCTTCTACCTTCATGAAGAGTGTCTGCTATCATGAGCTGAAATGTGAGAAACTTAAGAGGGAACTTGAAGTAAAGTCCCAGAGAGGAATGCAGCAAAGGACAGCTCAATTCTTACCCACAGTGCCAGCAGATCGTTTCATGACAAAGTAGTTAGGACCTTGGTTTAACATCTCATCTGAAACAACACACCACCTGCAGCTGTGGTCCCAATCGCCACACCTACCAGTCCACTTTTCTTAGCTGCTACTGAGATCAGGTTGAAAAGAAATCAATGTACTTTTTGCCTTTTTTACAACTTTACGTAAGGTGGTGCTGTTCCTGCGTAATACAGACAATTTGATTCAGAACTTTTAACTCCTTTTATTAAATGTGTAAGGGATGGATAAATATTAACAGTATCCTGAAAATATAAATATAAAAAAATCCTAATGAGATAAAAACCTAACCTTTGGTAACAAGTTTGCTCTGCACAAATCATTTTCAAAGGATTAAAAGTCTTTCAAAGGATAAAAAGTGTATAAACGATATCACAGTTTATAGCCTATTTCTAAACACATTTTTAAGAGGTCAGTTATGCAAACTCTGTTAAACAAAAGCTGCATTTCCTAATCATCCTTATCAGACACGATCATACACAGCAAATTCTATTCAGGCTACATTAGATAATGATCCGGTGTTCAGACCTGAAATCTGCTGATCAGAGAAAAAGGCTGAAAGCCATAAAAGCAAAAGCCCAAATCCCCATTTTATAACTCCGCTAAGCAAGGTTTTGAAGTCAGCGAGTTCCTTTATTTTTTTCATTTCTGAATGTTGAAAAAAGCATGCAGGTGAAAATGACATCCAAAGCAATTTCTTTTAATTCAATTGTTAATCAGACCTCTTCTCTCAAGAAATCCCTTCTAAAAGTTTTCTGTGCCTTCAGTAAATGATCATGAAATACTGTAGTCGGTGTTCTCACAAATGATGTTTTAGTGAACATATTTCAAAACAATGATAAAATTCCCCTTAATTTCTGGATAAGGATGATGTGCTCTGTCAAACACTCTGACCCACATTCAACTCTGTATTATTACAGCTAATAATAACAAGCCTGAAACCTTACTGGGTAGCACAATGACAAGCCCAACCTGAGACAAACAGTCACCCTACAGCACAGCAACATATTCTTTACTGTCAGCAGTCCCTCAGATAAAGAATATAATCTTCAAGCACAACTGCAAAATGGAAGCTTAAGTGTTATGCAAGTGGAGGTTGGAGCACAATAGAGATGTTATGACTGAGGGCATCAGATAACTGCCGTTCACCTGCCTGTTTTGTTACTGTTCGTTACACAGAGTTAGACAGCCAGCCTGTCAAAGAAGAAACTTACAGCACACAATAGTATGAATAGGCTTGCACATTCTAAAGTCTAATCTAAGATTTCCACTTTTTTTCATAGTGGTAGACACCCAGTAGACTCAATTAATATCCACTGCAAAACACAAATCACTCTACTGCCTAGAAAGTTCCTGGTGCAAAAAAAAAGAATTGTGAAATTTGCACTTTGACTGAAGATGACCCTCACTTATATAACCAAGCCTTAAGCAGTTCCTGATGGCATTTTATTTGCCAGCTATTTAATACAGTGCTAGTTATGAGCAATGTGGTTGCATAACCTAGAAAAGTACAGTAGGATTTAATATCAGAGAAAGCACATCTAAACTGTTGAAGACATTTAAGCGTATTCAAGGAAAGAAAACAGAGAATTTTTTTTTCTGCTGCTCCACAATATTTCTAACTAGCTTTGTAGTTTCTTCTAGCTTGTCTGACTGCCGTCTATATTAAGCTCTGGCAGACATAATAACATAAGGAGAAGGTTAATGATGTAAATGAGGTAAATGTAGGCTATTTAGGCTCTAAATAGTGACCTTAGCTGTTTCTTTCTAATAATTAATTTATGAACATCACAGTTAGCAAAGCAATTAAGGACCTCTTTTTCTACCAGCTAGAGAATATATAAAAAATAATAAATTACATACCACATTTTATTACAGTGAATCTCAATGTACTTCACATAAAAGAAAAAAGATAAAGAGAAGTCATGGAACTTAAAAACTGCTAAGAAGGAAATAGATGATAGGAAAACAGACCGTTTATAGTACTGGAAGCTAATAGTCTTACTGGTAGAGAAGGAATTTAAGATCTTTGAAAGGTCTCCATTGAAACTGCATGTCTGACATGATCAGGGAGGATATTCCACAAGCGAGGGGCAGAGACAGAGAAGTACAGTTACTCATAGTACATATTGTAGTTTTGTTCTTGGGACCTGCAGCAGATTAGATTGACTTGCTCTTAAAGACTGGGGAGAAGTGTTCAGTGATGTAGATGGGACCTTTAGAGCATTAAAAACCAGGAAGCAGTACTTTAAAATCCACTCTCTGGTGGATGGTGACCCAAGGGAGCTTTATTAGAATAGGGGTGGTATGGTCTAACTGCCTTGCTCTGGTGAATGCCCTGGCAGCACTGTTCTTGAGAAGTTGTAATTTAATTAATGTGCTTAAGGACAGACCACAAAGGAGAGCATTACAACAGTCCAGGGGAGATGAAATGAATTAATTTTTCAGCGTTTGTAAAACTGAGAGCAGACCTTTGTCAGGAGTTATTTTTCAAATGGAAATTTCAATGAATGATTAGACTGCAGTAACTGGTGATGGTGACCTGATCAGGTGTTCCAATCAGAATAGCCTGTTTTGGTACATGAAAACAATTGTGGTTCATCCATATCATCCATATGATTTGCTCCAGACAGCTTTTTCAATTTTTCAATGCAGTGGCAGTTTCAATGCAGTCAGGCTTGACGTTAAAAGAGTATCACCCACATAGCTGTGAAAGTTAGCTCCCCAATGTGTATGATCTGACCTAGAGGAGACAAGAAAATGAGGAACAAGATGGGCCAAATACTGACCCTTGAGGGACACTGCAAAGTCACTGGCGACATCTCTATCGGGGATCTTGTTTCCCTAATAGAGACAAAATACTGCCTGTTGGAAAGATAGGAGGAAAACCATTTCAGAGCTGTGTCTTGCAGTCCGACATAGTTCCCTCAACATCTGCAGAAGGATGTTGAGCTCCCCAGTTTTGAAGGCTGCTGAGAGATCACACAGAACAAGTATGGATGGAGATCCAGAGTCAGCAGCTGTTCACCAAGTTAGAAACTCTCACAAGAGCAGTGTAAAATCTGACTGGAATTTTTTTAAGAGTTGGTGAGAACTCAAGTGAAACTGCAGCTGAGTACCTACTGCCTTCTTGCTAATTTGAGATGAAGGGGAGGTTAGAGATAGGCTTGTAGCTGGAGAGTAGATTGAGGTCAAGGTTAGATTTCTTCAAGAGGGAAGTAACAGCAGCTGTTTTGAGCAGAGATGGGCATTACTCCAGTCTCCAGGGATTTATTAATCAGGTCTGTGATAAACTGAATCAGAACAGATAAGAAGGTTTTGAACCAAGGATCCAAGGTGCATGTTGAGTTTTTATTTTAGGAGTTCTGCTCCTAAAATATTGTATCTCACACCTGTGTACAACTGTCAACATCTCCAATGTAATTTAAAAAGTCTAAAAGAAATTAAAATCATATGATTTAGATTTAAGAAATGTGCTTGTATAAAGTAATTTACAAAAACGAATACACATAGAAATGAAAACTTCAAAATACACTGCACAAGTTTATACACATTTAAACATTGCATAAAATTTCACAATTGCATACCACTTAACTTTTTTCAATTACTAATTTTCAACTCTTCGTTAAACTGCTGTTAAAGTACTGTACTGTTTTTATTACGATCAAAGATTCCTGCCCAACTCTAAACATTGGGCTAAATCGTTTTAATGTTACAGTAGTAACATTCTCTGGTTTACTTGGCTAAAGTCAGCTTTCATTAACAACAGTACAACTTATCTTTTATACTGTGCATGCAGGTATTCTTCAGGTTTAATTTACATATGGGATTTGGTAAAAAATACACAACTTCTTTTTAACAAAATGACAGCAAAAAACACATTTTGCTCATGAACAAAACCTGAAATGTGTATAATAAATTAGTTATGTGTAAAAAAAAAACAGTTCAATTTCTTTACAAATCCTAACAAATGCCTTGGAGCCCTATACCTAATCCAAAGAAGCCTGAAATTTGGGATGCTGCCATCATCCCATTAAGGTGGCTACCTTCTACATACTGTCCGAGATGTAGAAGATGGCATCAATGAGATCTCCAGTTTTATGAAGTGCTCGGACAGCTATGTTGCGCTCCACAGAGAGCTGAGACATAAGGACTTCGATGTCTCTCTGATCCAAGCCATCCTCACACTCTGCCTGCTCTCCAAAGGCCTGAAACAGAGCGTTTTCCTTTAAAAAGTTCAGGATGTTGTCTTTGTGAATTACTTTTCCTTTGCTTATAAGTCTCATCTTCTCCTGGGGAATTTGTAGACGGCTGGAAATCAGACTGAAGCACTCCTCCCCATTGGTCCCCTCAGAGATAACCATTGTGTGTTTAGACTTATTGTGCTTCACTTTGACTGTAACAGCATGGTCTAGCATATTCAGTCCCATAATGTTGTCTTGTTCAGAAAGTGGAGCAGGCATGGTTAACTGTGTTTCTGCACTGTGGCTTACAAAACAATCCACATCCTCTGTCAACATCTTGGAATTCCAGCAAAGTTCTTTATGAAGCGGCCAGTGCTTCAGCTGACATTCTTGTGAGCTCAAAAAAGAACAGGAAAGTATTGTCAGTTTAATATAGCAAAACAATTAAGAACTTGGAGTGGAGCCCAAATTTTTACTTTATTTGTTTTCAATATAACCTTCACTTACATATTACTTCAAAAAATGCAAAACATGAAGATATTTAATGAATCCAGGATTCTTGTGCTGTTCTAAAATAAATATATCTTCACTGCTTAATGTCTTATTATATTTTATAAGACAAACATTGTAAAGGTTTTTGTTTTAAATCCATACCATGTGACTAGTATGATATATAATTCTATATCACCAAACAGCCCACTGATGACATCATCAATATTGATTAAGGAACATCAGGTGAGACTAATAAAAAAGTGAAAATTCAAACAAGTAAAAGCTGCCTCCGATTCTGAACGCAGTTACCAGTTTAGTCCTGCTAAACAATTAAATTGTAAAATGAACATATATAACGTCATAAATTTGGTTATATCTTCCCTAGCTCCAGTACATGCCGTCTGCCACGAAAAGACAATTATATGAAGAGACGAGGCGATATTCAAAACATATACTATCAGGAAACGAAGGCTAAGTTTATGTCACGTAGTTTATCACTAGGACTTGATTCCCATTTCACTTATGAACTACAATAATTAGAAAAGTAAATAAGAAGAGAAGATAAACTTATATGTAGGTGTTGAAACAAGACAACATACTTCGCTGACCAATTACTCCAAACTAGTAAGGCTTGTCTGTTGTTACTCGGTTCTAAACTTGAAAACGCCCGATGCTATGACGCTCTCTAATAAATATTTCTACATTGCTTGCTTTTAAATTTAATGGACTTTTTCATTTCATGTAACAGAGGAAGGCAATTATTTGCTAAAAGAGAAACTGAAAGAAGCAAATGTTACACATAACACTTCTTTGGGCAAGGCTCAGTAAACAAAGGTTTATTACAGCTGATCTCACCAGTAATATACTTTTTTGCATCTGCCACATCTCCGTACGGTACCCAGCGACTTCTCACAAACCCAACAGCACATCACTAACGACGCCATCTTCCGTAAACAACCAATAGGCTATCGTGATCTGTAAATCTCGATTCGGTGTTTGAAAATCATTTTTTAATCGACATTCGAAAATGAAATATAATATCCTGACTATGAATAAATGGAAAAATAAATTAGTTCTATGAGGATTAAGTATACGGTCATTTAGTGGGGTTTCCAAGAGATTACAAATGAAGCGAATCTGCTGGTATTGTTTGCGAATATCCTTAAATTCATGCGGCAGTTTTCGATACCGCTGTTTATCCTAACCGTTGGGACGGTTTTTGCAATCTGTTTTTAAAATCTACCGACATCTTAGTTTTACCATGACAATAAGCGCTTTAAAGTGAGCAGCAACGATTTGCTGACATTTTCCCCATTGTACAGGGCGAGTTATTTTTGAACTTGTGATCTTTCGTTAAAGTGATATCTAGGTTAAATTGTATTAATACCACATGCAGAATATGCAGACAACAATTAAAGCTAAATTCAAAATGTAATATTACTGTTACCTTTTTACTGATATTATCTGACCACTTTCACATGCCTTTTTAAAACACAGATATGACTAAAAAAATATTTGTTCGGTTACTTTTAATTACAATTTTATCGCCACGACAATATATTCCTTTTGTGTTCATTTTTAGGTATTGAACTTGAAAACAGTATACTGACCAATATGGTAATTACACAACAAATAGAGAGGAAGACAAAAGCAAACCACCTTTTTAAAGACCTCAGACGCAGAGCAAGCAGTAAATCCATTAGTCTCCATTAGATGGAGCTACAGATTACAAAATCCTTAAAAGAAACTGCAATGTTTCAAGGGAATAAGGGGGTGGAATTTTTGTGGTAGGGACCTTACTCACACGCATTCAGCCAGATTTGTAAACATTAAAGCCATTTCTCATAACATAAATGAGCATCACGTATGGCTATCTAGTCTGAGGAGAGGCAAGGAAATCTGATTTTGCAAAACAAGGTTTCATAATTAAAAACGTAATTCAAAAGCCTTAGACAAATCAATGCTCTAGACTTTCCCTAATGTATATTGGCTAAATACATTGTTAACATCTTATTAAATCTGACAGGATCGTATTGCTGATGTTTCACTGAATTGCAATATGGTCTGTAATTACCTTATATTGTGCAATGCATTGAAATCAATGACACATTTTAAGTAAAAAAATAAAACTCTTTAACCCTTTCCATCATTGACTTACGATGAACTTTGGTTCGATGGCTCTTTTTGTGTTTTACTTTGTTTTCTTTTTATTTAGATATTTGTAAAATAGTCTCAGTAATTAGACTTTATTATTGTTTTTTTTACATGGGGTTATATAATCATAAGGATATATTATCACGTGAGTCAAATTTTTGGGCTCCAAACCACACAGGCTATGTTAGAGCATTTTCATAACAGTGACAGTATATGGCATTCAAAATTGGTTGCTTTCCTTAATTCGCTTTTTAAAAAAATTAAAATGATTTTTTTGGGGGAAATACAGGTTTCAAAGAACAGTGATCAGAACCCATATGGTGTATTCTTCTGTTTTCAATATTAATTTTTAATTAATTTAATAATTAATTAAATAAAATGGTAACAGAATTTATTTGATCTCCCCGAAATTTTAAAACCTAAACAATAAAGTGTTGTCCCTGCTTAGATTTCCAGACTATCAAAAAGTTAACACTAAAATTGTTAAAAGTTATTATTCGTTATTAAATTCTTAAATAATGTGATTGCAAACTGCTATATATGATACCATTCAGAGTTTATCATAGATTGTTTTTTCATACAACATGTTTTTTGGAACCGCTAGTTTCTGTGATGTCTCCCATAAACCCCTCCTGCTTGACAGTTCAGATTGGGAAAACGAGGAGCTGAAAGCAAGGAATAGAGATTAATTAAACAGTGCAATACAAATAAAATGTTCATTTGCACTGTACTATATGGGTATGTATTTCATATGCATTACAATAGAAACAAGTAACTAGAACTAGCATGTTAACCAGACCTGGAAAAGATATTTGAGGTCTATGTGATGCCCTGGAACAGTCTTTGCTTTTACAATAAATAGTATCTGTTTACCCCTGCAGAGAAGCTGCTGCACGGTAACATGAATTTAGCCAAATCTCATATTCACCTGCTGTTTTCATGATTCTGCAGTCGTTTTATTTCAACTGTATTTTTTTTTAATCAGATGACTATAATATTCTGCAGTATCCTCACGTTACTATTCTTGGCAGACAATCTAATGACGTCTCTGGGACGCCATTTAAATGGCCTCATAAGTGCATGTTATTTCTATCAGCTTCTAAAGCGGTCTCAGTCTTGAATTCCCTTTCAGCTCTTTACAAGCTCCATATCTCTCACTTCCAGTTAAAGGATTCCTGTTTTCTTCTGCCACTCTCTTCATCACTATCCCTTCTTCCCCCAGCACTGTCTCTTCCTGTATCTCTTTCGCCCTCTCTGTCCACCCTCTTCATGTTGACTGCTGTAGTTTTGTACTGCCTCCTAACTCTCATTCTGTCACTATCCCGTGTATTTATTTCTTTATATGACAAATACCAGGACTGCATTCCTCAACCTTTAGAAGATCAGGTCACAAGCAACTTTTGTTGAACTCTGATCTGGACACTCTCAGATTAATCTTAATGCAAAATCTGCTCAAGCCTCTTGTGCTGTAATTGTCTGCTTTGTTTGTTGTGGTTGCTATCCTTATGGAAAAATTTAGGAAAATATCCCAGTTCTCTATAGAATCTGTTCCTGCATTTCTTAGACATTTCTATAGAAAACATTAAATTATTTTTATGAGGGCACCCATTGTGTCTTACACTGTATCTTTCATTCATTATACAATTTAGAACATTAGACAAGTGGTATGTGCTGCAGTTAGACTGGGTAGTTTTATACTATAAAAAATGTAGCCTTACCTGTGCATGTGGAACAGGATCTCGAACACTACACCCTCTGAGCCAAAGTACTGTATCTACATGTCTCCTTTTCACTTGAGCTCCCAGCTACTTAATTGGTTGAATTGTTTGATTAATTAGATAATTAAAATAATTCTCTCCAGGCCCACAACTGTTTACAGGTACTGTACCTGGAAATGAATTGCATGGTTAATGTTGTCAACTGCTAGGCAAACAAAATAAATGCCTATATGAAAATAATGAGGTTCCTTGTGTTGATTGAAACTCAAGCAGGGTCAAATATCAGGGCACCAAGCCCCATTACGAAATGAGTTTGAGACCCTTGATTTAAAACATGCCATTATACAGCATTTGATGAAGGGGTCATCATGACTGGATGAAAATGTCACAGCCCAGTGTTTATTAAAGCCCAGGGCATTAATAAACAGGCATGTTTCCTGTTGTACTTGACTGTCCTCCGTAAGTTTCCAGTGTTTTTAATTTTTGGAAAATATAATACTATACAGTATTTTCCAGAAGAAAATTAGCTTTAAATCATCATGTGAAAAGTGAATGATTCTAACCAAAAAGACCACTGTCCCTCCCTCCCTCCCCTTTCAAACAATTAATCTGATAGAGAAATAAAAAGGGAAAAATGTGAAATCTGGATATCTGGGAGTGTAACCTGTATCTATAAATTAGTATAATAAATAAGAAACTTCTTGAGAAAGAAAATTGTTGAATGCTAGAAATATATTGTTAAATGCTATTCACTTATAATACTATAATTATCTGTTGCCAGGAAGAGATTTGTCCTATTTTGGTGTTTTTGAACTGCCGAGGCAATTTATAAACACCGGAGAAAAGAGGCAAAAAATAAACTGCTGCCTTATGCAGAGATTAAGCAGAGATTCTAATATACCTGATGTAAGTCAAATGTTTTGGCATAGTAAAATAAAAAGTAATTATCGTATGAAAATGTCTTACAAGTTAAGTTCCAGTCGTCTTGAAAAAATGAGGTTCACATTTAGTAATACATTCTTTAAAACGTAAAACTATATGAATGAAAATGCTGTAGGCAAAATAATATTAATGTTTTATCAGCGTGTTTTAATGCAAATTGCCCTCTAGCAATGACAAATTTCACAGCTATGAGACCTGATTTGAATACAAATTTTGTAACCTTAAGCTGTGTTGGTTCGTCAGGGTAGCTGAAAAACTGCATACCTTCAAGAGATCTGAACCTGTTATCTTATAAAGCAGGAAGGACTGAAGTACCGCCTTTAATTAATTAAAATTACTTAAATGGGGGAGTTAAGAAACAGCAAATTCCCGAGTATAGTGTGCCAATTTTTAGAGTATATGCAAGACTATATATTCACAGACAGCGACCCGATTTAAAGTTCCTGCAAAGTACAAATCCATTAAAAAGTAAGTAAAACTCCTCGGAGGAAGTTATGTAAGGTAACGTCAAAGGTTTCACCATTTTTTTAAACTATTTTTAAATCCTTTGGGATAATCACATATTTGTAGACATTTTGCATATTTGGAATCATCAGTTCTTTACATTTGTTAATTATACAGTATGTTTAAATTATGACCCACTGAATCTTTGTGCAGTTACATTTACCTGCTTCAGTTTGTAGTCTCTGTAATCTTTATTTGCAATCTCTTTATATATATACTATACTTTCATAGTTTTGGGAGTATCACCATGACAAACTTTGAAAACACATGTTCTAGACATACCCCTCCAAACCGCAATCAAAGCTTGAATATCTGGGAATTAAAATGAGATCCTGGGTTAATTAACTATCTTTAGACAATCAGAAAAAGAATAATATAGGAATATAACAAGGAGAGGCCAATTAGCCTTTTCCTAGTTTGTAGTTAATTAATTCAAGTACAGTATCTCATTGAGCCTTTTCTTGAAAGAAAAAGTATTGGCATCAACAACATCACTGGGTAGTTAGTTGCAGTCTCCCACAACCCTTTGTGCAAAGAAGTGCCTTCTCCATCGATGACTATAACACATTACTGTTGTCCCCTGTTGTGAACAATATGATTAATTACAGAAATAGTCAGATTCACAATCACAATGCTCACAACCACGTTGGGCTCAGAGGAATCTTTTTAGTTTTGCTTGTGAAGTTTGGTTTTTGCTGGGAAGCGCTGGGTAATTCTTGTACAGGAACTGCATTACTTAAATGTAGTTGCGATAAAAGATTATTGTAACGATTTATTCATTTGCTTAAAGATTTTAAAAGCATTTTGGCATGTTTGTACACTTAAAACGTCTACATTAAAGGACATCTTTATAATGTATCACCATTAGCAGTATATGTGATATGAGTATCGCTTTGCAAACTCTTCAATGTGAAGATTGTTACTGCCATTTAAATTTGAGAAAATCCAACATTATAAAACTGCTAGAATAAAATACTGTTGCCCCAGGATGGTTACACAATTCTCTCATTAGGCACATCAGCCACAGAAACCTGAGGAAAAGGCATGAATGTTCTTATCAAACCATTCACTAACCACTTTCATTTTTAAACTTAGAGAGTGTCTTACTTCCCCATATTCTTCAAATTGTGCTCTTTCATTCCAGTAATGAGCACAGCCAGATTCCAAGCAGAAGAATGTGGCCAATTAAAGTCATACAAAGTTAATTTTACAGATTTTGTTTTGTGTTGCTCCCTCTGCTCTGCAGCTGTTTTCCATAAAAGCAGTGAATCTGGACGGAGAGATTAATTATATCCCTGGTCACTGTTTGAAGATGCATTTG